CACGGATACTTGGCGCTCCTCAATGGAGCGTACCGTGTGCGAGGTCGCGACTGGTGAGATGGGTGAGAACTTCACATAGTAGCCATCGGGTACTTGGCGTTCGCAGTGCGAACGTACCGGTAGCGGGTTGATATCATAGGCGTGCAATGAGGGCTGACTATTAGGGCCTTCGGTGACTTGGCGTTCCCAAAGGGAACGTACCGTTGGCAGGGACATATGATGACTGGCAAAGGAAGAAACAGATGGTGGATGGGCGGCTACTTGGCGTTCGCATAGCGAACGTGCCGGCATCGCGGGTAAGTGGGCCTCATAGTGTTCACGATCACCATGATCGTGATGGGACGTCGTATGTTGAGTACTGGGGGAAGAGCGGAGTGATGAAGACCCATAGGGTACAGGTTCAATAGGACGATACACATGTTGAGAGTCTTCGACTCTCGACTTCGAGTTCTCGCGGCGAGGGCTGTTAGAGGACTCAATATAACCAGACTTATAAGACATATTGAGAGTTGTACAGTCACACAGGTTCAGTTGAGTCACAGGGAGGGTTGTTACAGAAGATGGTACATGAGACAGTTGTAGAGCAGTTGTTAGTTAGCAGGAACCGCCTTCGGCGGTTTCCATACAAGATGCGTGACTATCTACAAATGGTAAGGTCGCGGGAAATCCCGCGAAACACAAATAACCTCGGCCAGCACCAAAACCCCAGTTGGGGAAAGCTTTGCACGAGGGGGGGAAAGGGGTAGAACAGATAAGGAGGATAGGGTATCGGGATAGAGGATGGAAGGGAGAAAGAGGGGAGGAACAATAATGAGGAGAAGTCTTTGACCATGTGACGGATATGGTCGTTGGAGACTCCGTATCCGTAACATGCTGGCAGATGGTACCACAGATACTTTACTGTATCAGTTTGCCCAGGGAAAGGCAAGGCAGAGTGAAACATTTGTTTCCAAAGCTAAAGGTACGTCCCTATCGAGGTCTTCAGCCATTTTATACTGACATACTGCCCAGCATTTTTGGCATTGAACAACGACGAAGATAGTGATGGGGATACAAGTGACAACGGCGTTGACGATTGCTCTCCTTCCATTGTGCAAGTGAAAGGGAAAGGGACAAGCCACAAGAGGAAGAGAAGCAACGATGTTGCTGACAAAGGAAAGAAGCAGAAAACAAAGGGGGGTTTCAAGGGAAAAGAAGTTGCCGCCCCCCCAGCGCTTTCCCCAATCCTCTACCGTCATCTTCAAAGGGAGAAGTCCCACTCCCTTTAGATGCTGGCAGAAGTAGCCCCATCGACGATGGCTCCCTGGATCTGTCTGGAGATGTGCCTCCAAGGTTCCCATCTTCCTCGTCAGCCACTGATTTCAACCACATTTTTGGTAACACCGACGCCACGATGTCAACATCTGTGACTGGTTTATCTCCCATTTCATCTGCCCCTAGCTCCCCTGGACTCTTTGCTTCAACCCTGCCTTCCTCAGGGTCCTCAAGCAACCAAGCGGAGGGTTCAAGACCTTCAAGTAATCCATATCATCGACGAAACTTGAGACGGTGCCTTCTGACAGTGATGAAGATGGAGAAGAGTTGAACCCCAAACCCTACATCTCACTGACACAGCCAAATAGACCTCGACGACGTTGAAACTGGGCTAAACGTGCATGGCCACTTGGAGGGAATGGATGGTGGAGCAGTGGTGACTTTCGTGTTTATTTCTTGTTGTACACAATTGCATTTACATTTGTATGGCTTGGGCTTGGGTAAAGGGTATACCCTAACCCACTGCCAAATATAAGCTTGATGCAGCCTACGATCTTGACAGCCAGAGGATTGAGGAGTCAACGAGGCCGGCACCCCAACCAGCCTTACACTGCTACTTGGATGGGCGTGGTTGCATTGAATTCCTGTATTTTTCCACTTCCACAATATATATGATTCATTTCTGTAAGCATGTGGTTAGGATCGTGCTATTTGTACCTTATATACATAAACAATCTGAAACTTCATCGTACCATCACCATACTTGCTCATTTCTCGACGGTTTTCCTTCAGGTGACCGTCTTTATCAATTAATAATTCTCCTGACTGCTTCGTCTTGTAATTCTTAAGCACTATATATTCTTGTTGACTTTATATATTTGGGTGCCCCACAACGTTGTGGTTGTGCTGTGACACATTGTGTGACAGAAATTACCATCACAGTCACTTGAACATGCCATTGCTTCTCTATTGCATATTCAGAATGGAAGGCTTGCATCACCATCACTCTGAATGTAAAGGTGATTGTGGTCAATAGCCCAGCATGTATTGATGCTGCAAGGGCCATGTTTAGTGAAAGATGATTCCACCAACATAATCATCGGGATAACCTATCAAACCAACCATGGGGTGAACCCCATCATTCACGGCGACTTCTATGGGTTCAAACCAGTCGTCCAGCATAGCGCCTCGTCATACTGGCCTGTCAACGTTTCAAAGACATGGAAGAGGGAGCGATGAGAAAGTGGACCTTCGATATACGGAAACGCAATGACAGACACTTGACGATGCTACGGAAACTATTGCTATCATTGCCCAAAAACAACCCACCTTGGAGTAATGTGCTCGTAACGCCTCGCCATGCAGTTCAAATGCAATGGAACGATCAATCACTACGATGACATTGCCCGATATTTGTATCGTTTCCCCCTGCCTGCCTATCAGTCAGACTGGATTCTGAGCATTTTATCTTAATCACTTACACACTTTCATGTACCCTAGCGAAACATGCTAGGTAACTAGTTTCAATGCTATTAGTTCAACAACGTGCCCACTCTCTTCCTGTCACGAACTACTCAAGCTCTTATAGCTCCTTCGAAAGTGCCTTGATCAGACTTCGACCGAGTTTCGATCGCATTACGAGCTCCCTTCGATTTGCTCGTATCTGTATCTTGAACTCACTCCCAACTCATTCCAACTCATCGCACTTACCCCAAACCCTCATCTCGAACGCCACCCAGCAAATGCCGAATCCCTATCAACTCCCCCGACTCTTTCTGCAGCCAATCCATTCCAGCGCTGCGAGCTGGCTTCGAATGCTCCCCACGCCCACCTCAAATGCCTACCAAAGACACATCAAGGCTGCCCAACTTGCGGTTCGCAATGACCTAGCGATGCAGGGGGAAGGTTTTACTCAAGTGCAGGTCTACCTGCCTCCCCACACTCGAGGAACGTCGCATAAACCAGCATGGGCGCAAGCTCACAAAAGCTTCATCGCTCAATATGAGGATGACCCATCGTATCTGTTCGTGTACAGCGATGGTTCGCAGCGTAAGCTGAATGGGGCGAGGAGATCGGGGTATGGTTTGGTTGGCTATCGCAGCCGTGAGGTAGTATTTGAGTCGAAGGGGGAATGGAGAAGGGGGCACACCTGTTTGAAGCAGAAACCCAGGGGTTTCAGGTGGCAGCGCAGAAAATCACAGGAGTATTTGAGGGGAACAATGCGACCCAGCGTCCAACGCGTTTACTCATATTCGGAGATGATATTGGCTCAATTGAACGTCTCACGATGTCAAGTCCAACAAAGGGACAACACTACTCAGAGGGATTTCGAACGTATTTGGCCAACATACTGTTGCGCAACCAGCCCCTCGAAACCATCATCAGCTGGTGCCCAGCTCATTCTGGCATTATCGGGAGCGATCGTGCGGACCAGCTAGCGAAGGAGGGTTCACTCGGACTTTAGTTCTTATTTGTATTCTTCATTATAAAGTCAATTCCATCGGGATGACAGACCGTGTGTAAATAATATTTGGATGACTCGTACAAATTTCCCGGTGACTCACAGTAGCATGTGATTTTATTTATCGCCTCCTTTATTTCTAGTTTACTGATACTAATAGCGCGGGTCCAGCCGGACGACTGTTTCTCGCCCCCTGATTGGCTCAAGCCTCGCTCTTTGAGGTTTTAACCTTAACCCCGAGTTGGGTCGGTTCCCACGCGCTCCTCTCATTGGCTCCCATTTCACCGGAATTGGGATTGACGTCCCCGACATTGCTCATTTGACATCCATTCGCACTTTGGCTGTGTTCCCAACTGCCAGGTTATACCACTGCGATGGCACTGCGATGGCACACACACTGCACGCCCGGAACCGTTCAATGTACAGAGTCTCACCAGTGCATTGAAGTGCGTTCTCGCTCTCTCATTGGCTGGCCGCGCTGCGAGCGACCACTTATGCAAGTGCCAGACCCCCCCCGGTCTTCGTCTGTCAATCATTCCGTGGCTTTAGGGGGCACATTGGCTGCTTGAGGTGACCTCGCATCAGAAGCAAATCTCGCCCCTCAACAATGACTCAGACAGCCGCCAGACTGCTGTACATGGAATTTCTTTTATCATCGAGGTTCGCACTTCATCCTTCACTCAAGTTCGGACGACGCAAACGTACTAACTGTATCATTCGATCCAACGCACCGACCTGCGTTTATTACAATGCAATCTGATGGCTCATGTCATGAATTACAACATCGCGATGCCATCCACGCTATCTGATCACCGAATACCCCGCTGACACAATGCAACCTCCTGTGAATATGAACTTTGATATCCCTGGAGTCGTTCCGTGATCAATGATCGATTCTTCACAGTAACTAAATCCTTCAGTCCTCCTGCATGCTCTGCAACATCATTCTCTCTTTGCTCAAAACGTGAATTTGCGTTCGAATTCCCTGCTTCACCACCTCACTCTCAACCTGAAATAGAAAAAGAATGGAGATAACCGAAAGTATCACGTGACATTCGACACCGTGTCGAAGGTATATGGCAGGCGCGAAACTTGGATTCGATAACTACGATTCATTTGAAGGAGTTGACTCCATTTTTGAGACAGTAACTCACTCAGAGCTTTCCCACGGCATCTCAGCGTGTGCGCTTCAACAACATTGGCACTGACCCTCAAACACTCAACCTCAATCCTCATTGTGCCCTTGCTTCTCCTTGTCATTACCACCATCAACCGGCTCCAGCGCCAAACTACCCAGAACTCGGTATCACGATACTGGGGAACCGTAGGTCGAATGGGAGGATCGGGCACAGCAGTACGCCCCATTTCCACTCCCATAGCTAACCCATGCCCACAGCTACTGATTTCGCTCTCGCGTAGAATTCCATACAATGCGCGATCAACTTCGCACTGAAGACTCAGTCAAACACGGGTGTTTAACTGATGTCCTTTGCGTGCTGGGGTCTCTACTGGTTGGTGCTCGGCGCCATCGTCAGCTTGGGCGCGGCAACTCGTGTGCGGCTGGGCTCGTCATCGGACCGGGACTCGAAGCTGGGTTGGGGCTTAGCTCTTTGGCTGGGGGTTGCTAGGCCGTGGAGGTTATGCCTTTTGTGCCTGCACTCTCATGTCGTATACAACGGTTTGGGTTGGTGCTGCTACGGTAGGCACCGCCCATGGGCTCGGGATCGATGTCGGACGGCAACTCGATACTAAGGCCTCTTGGCCTTAGCTTGAGCTTGGTGCGCTCTGGTGCTGTGAGATCGGTACGGTCGCGGCATCGTGCCCTGCACGAGGGGACTTTAACATCAAGTACGACGTTACTGTCTAGCAACGTAGGCGCCATCTGGTGTCTCCAGCATGAACATTGGGGGAAAAGGGTTCATATGTCGCGGTATTGAGGACTGACGATGCGTCCGACTCAGGTAAAACTCTGAGAAATTTCAAATGACGAAGGCATCTTGCACAACCTGCGTGGACCACCATGTGAATATCAACGCTCATCGACAACAGCCGAGGAGGGGAGTTTTACTTTAACTTAATATCATCGTGACTAACAACGACTATATCCTTTTTGTTTCAGAGTCCGATACCAGCGCTCCAATTTTTCCTTTGTCTTATATCATCAGTTGTCACTGGCAATCGCTTAAGCGATATTGCGCCAGTCGTATAGTTAGCTGGACGCGTAATTTTCTCCCTCCTCAGTTCTCATTACGAGGCTGAGGTGATACCATTTCCTCTATCTGTGTTTGCGCATAACTCATTGTATTTTCGTGTTACAGTTACGCCGATAGCGAAATATCTTAATATATTAGTTCTCCATTACGAGACTGAGTTACGCGCGATAGCTCCTATTCGAGCTGCTCCTCCTGTACCCTGTGACCACCAGGAGAGTAACGATCACACGCCCCTACACCCATCTGTTGGGATTTATGAGGGGAATATGATGTGTTTTTCCTCTTTCCGCATGCTTGCTTCTTTAGCTAGACACTTTCCTCTTGTACTCAGCATGTAGATAGTCTATATGCAGTGTAGAATTGAGCTCAGATGGAAACGATTGTGTGGTTTCGCATGTGAGAATAAGCGCGCAAGTCGCATTCATCACTATTGCTGCCGCTGAGGCCAAATGGACCCCTACGATCTGGCCCTTCTTTCCTCCAAATTCCAAGTATGGTCTCATATCCTGAATACTTACCACCCAAGCCACGGCCCTCCCATACCACTGGCCCCTTTGATCGCTCATTTGTTATTGTTATGTCATTTCGCTGCTTATTCCTCTTGCATGTACAGTAGCCACGATGTATAAGATCCTCATATATATACAGGTGGTTTTACCCTACGATATGACAAGATAAAGGACTATGTCGTGGCTTATAGCGGGACCTTTTGACATGATTCTGGTCGCCGCTCACGTAATTCCGGATAGCGCCGGTTGGGTATAAAACCCATATGAGGCTGTGCACACTCTTTTTTCTCTCGGGTGCAGGAATATGGATTGGGACGGTGGAAGGGTGGGCCCGCTCTTCTGCTGTCTAGCAATCCCAGGCTCTCTAGCCTGCCCAAGAATGGCTGTACACACCTGGGGACCATTAGTCGGCTCTTGCAACCCAGCCAGCATAATTGGTAACCCTGCACCATCCCATAGTTCCCTCCTCTTCGTGACGGCATTGAGGGCCAACTTCGAGGTTGGCTTCTAGGTGTGTATATTGGTTTGTTGGCAAGTTAGCTGACCAGTCCAAAATTACAAGAAAAGACTGTATGTAGATCCATTGATCTCAGCGCTTATCCATTGGGGAGAGCGTACATCTTACGTTCTGCAGCTTTCCATTTCCGCTCGTTTCATCTTTCCTTCTTTCTGCACTTCCGATGCTCCCTGGGATCATGACACTTTGGCACATGGGGATCAGAGCATAATCCCTCAAGGTGAACAAGGTCCCAGGCGGAAGTCTATCTAGGGCATGCTGCCTAAGGCAGAAGCGCCAACTTGTCCATTGTTTTCTCTCTCTCTTTTTTACATTTTGATTATTTTTCTGGTGACCGGGGAAGAGCTGCCTACAAAGTTGGAAGGTGGGAGGGGGAGTGTAGCTTGTCGATTATGTGTCAGAGCCCAATAAAAGGGGGCGCTTGGGATGTTATGGTCACGTGCCATGGCGCCTGTGGCCCTTCCTGGTCTTTGCGGCGTCCATCACGGTCCTCTCTATTCGCTCATTGAAACACTACCGGCTGCCAATGCCCCACAAGCCGCCATAACGCATGTGACACCTGCGGCGCTTTTCCGACATGCTCATTTTCGAATAGCGTGTCCGCTTCCAAAAAAAACTGTGGCCCTTGTTGAGAATGAGGTTGAGTACAGCGGCAAAGGCGCCACGACAAATATGCGGTACAAGATAAGAGAAAGGTACTTGGTGTTCTGCCCTGTCTTTTGCGCCTATAAATTATTCTCCAGGTACGCTTTACAGCAATAGCCCACAACACGGAGGTGCGCAAGCCTAAGGAGCTTGGGCCAGGCAAAAACTAGATGCGCGAGCTTGAGGAGTTCAGGTCAGAGGGGAGGAAAGAACAATCATTGATCATGTTGCTGATTGTCTTATTTCTAGGTTAACGAGCATCATGTTTACACCTCGCACCGCAGTCCCTCCCTTCACCACATCTAACTAATAAATAATCGCCGAGGGTCATCTACGAGATCTGATTGGCTCGCTTCACCCGAAGCCAGGTTTCGAACCGCTCTGATTGGCCCTTCCAGCTTACCTCATCGATATTGAAGGTAGCCACTTATGTTGTCAACTTACT